AAAATAATTCTTAAGAAGCAACAGCATGTAAGTAGATGTAATATATTCTTACCACAAAGGAGAGTCGTGCGTGAGAATAGAATTTTCAAGGCGAACCGCAAAGAAATGGACGATTAAGCGCCCCAATTAAAATTTACGTACGAAGAAACGCGTATCGCTGATACTCCTCCCCTTTTCTCTATTTCCTTTCAGTTTATCAAAAAGAAGTAAAAATGCGAATTATTAATGTAGAATTGCGCACCTTCGATGTACACAGAGTGTCGCGAGCTCTTCCCCCCATAAAAATCACGCATCCTTCTTTGACGCCACGCGCAACGAGAGGAACAAATAGAGCCCAGTTAGGAAGGCAAACGAACCCTCATTTTCGACGCGCGAAAATCTGCCAAATTTGCCCCGTTCGAAATCGTACACAAAGGACCGGTTGTCCGGCTCTGGCCTTTTCGCCAGGATTCATTGAATTCACGAGGGAATCGTAGCATGATAACCGGATAACGAAGTTAATTGCTCAATCCGCCCAATCTATGTCGGCACGCACTTTAATTCGGGTTCGGTCGCCGTGGGGCTTTCCGGTGAGAGTGAAAATTACGAGGATGCTTTTCACGCGCAAGTTCTTTCCGTCCCTGCCGTCGAAGGGCCCGGTTCGTTAAGGTGGCTAATTAACGTTTCGAGCTCACCGTAGGATTTGCGGTAATTAGCATACGCGCGAATATTGGCGGCCGCGCTAAATATCGCGCAAAACCAGCAATAGTCGCGAAGAGCGCAACGGGACGCAAACGTGCTTTCAACAATGTACAATTGAGTTGGCGATAACAGCGATAACAGACTACGGATTTTAAAGAAGTCTGGCAATGTTTTTCGATTCGATTTCAACGGACTTTGTCTGTTAATTAATACAGATAATGCGTTTTTCTTCTGCCACTATTTTAACGTTTCAGAACATTAGGCCAGTGTTCATAGTCAGATCTTATATTCAAGGCTGTCTCAAGATCACCTTTAGATACTCGGTAGCCAATGAAATGTTCCGTGCAGCATCTTTAGATAAATTCAAGACGGTCTTGAATATAAGATCCGACTATAAATATCGGCCCTAGACTATTCAGAAAACTAGAAATCACACAAGCTTGCAAATTGATACGTAAATACAATTAAAAAAGTAACGATATATTGACGTAAGCAGACCTAGCGTAAAAGCAATTTATGCGCAATGCATATAAGTTGAAATTGTATCATAAAAATAAATCTTCGCTACGTTATTTTAACTTTTCTATATTTTATCTTTTATATTGATTCCTTTAAAGGATTACTGAAAGGATTATTATTGCTGAAAAACAGTATTAACCAAGCTAAACGATTCTACACTTTTTATGTTAATATACAGGGTGTACCTAAACTGGCGAAAAATATTTTAATAGCAAGTACTTCGTAACAATGTGAGACAAAAATTTTAATGTGAAAATGTCGAGGCTATAATAGTTTTCAAATGGGAAAAGTTTAAAGATCTCGAATAACGAGGCTAGAATTTCTCGCGCAGGGATGGCAAAGTGGCAAATTTCACTGCGAAGACTTACCACCTTAATCAAATAAATACGATAATGACAGCTGGACACATATCAATGTCGATTTAAAGTATTAAAGACAAACATTTTAAACAATTTTTATAATTCGTTACGTTTCACAAAGAGAAATAGTTTTTTAATAAAATTCCTGCATAATTTTTACAATAGCTTCATTGTCAAAGATGTGCGGTTCAAGGCAGCACCTTTGCTCCTAATCACTTTGCCATCCCTGAGCGCGCGAAATTCTAGCCTCGTTATTCAAGATCTTTAAACTCTTCCCATTTGGAAACTATTGTATTATGGAACATATGGAAACTATAGCCTTGATATTTTCGTATTACAACTTTCGTTAAAACGTTACAAAGTACTTGTCATTAAAATCTTTTTTCCCCAATTTAGGTACATTCTGTAGAAAAACTGTAGTATTGTAGAGGCTTATGTATAAAAGTAAAATAATGACACGATAAGTATATTCATATACAATACAAATTAATTCAACAAATCAATGTAAATGTAAATAATTTCATAATTCGATACTTTGTTTAATTAACGCGGCTTAATTATAAATCAATAAAATCATGTCTATCGGTTTATTGCTAGAGGGTGCCACATGATATACCGGAGTGGAGCCGATACTGCAGCTGTTCTCCATATCAACGCGAATCCGTTAGTTCTCTGTGGTACCGGCACGATTCGTCAACAGAGATATCTGTTTCATCGTCGATAAACGTTTTCAATACGCACTCGTAAACGTGAAAAATAATGAAGTCTACAATTTTAACCACATAATAAAGAAATAATCAATTAACACCGTACTTACTGATAAATCTAAATCACCACGTGAACGCACGTCATCGTTAAATGAGCAGAACGTATGCATACATTTAGTTTCTTCTTTAAACTTTTCAATATTCTAATTTTATCTAAATCAAAGGAAAATAAAAGTATTGTATATTGTGTTTTGGCACATCCGTTTTCCGATCACGTCACTGAAATGAATGATACTAATTCGCCGAAAGCCTTTTTCACGTAAACTGTACAAACCTCCACGAGAAACCACATTTTATTTCAAAAAATTAAACAAGGAAAGCGTTATATGTTGAAAATGAAAAATATATTATATGTATACTAGGAACCACTGATGCGTTTCCACATAAAGTGCACATATCAACACATACATGGAAAATGTATATGTATCCTATGCTGTTGGAAAATTTGTTTCCTTGTTAAAAAAAATGCCGGTTAAAATTCTTGTGTTAAATGTTTAACACATTCATGTGTTAATTTAACATATTGCTCTTGTGTTAATTAACCTCAAATGTAAAATTATTAAAGTAACTAAAAAGAAATGTTAAAACAACACAATGTGTACTTATTTTTCATCTGACACAATACATACCCAGTGAGAAATGATTCGTCGATCGACGTCGAAACGACGTCGAATCGACATCGACACCGTCGAATTGACGTCGATTCGACATCATTTCGACGTCGATCGACGAATCATTTCTCACTGGATATATTCTATTTTATTAGTAACAAAATTATCTGTTAAAATTTACAGAATAAAATGTTGATTTAATTCCATACAACATAAGTGAGAGTCATTTCGAACCGTCATTTCACTTATTACATCTGTAAAATGTAAAAGTTACATTTTTCAAATTCATTTTGTCGTTAAAAATATGTTAATTACACAAATTAAATACACAAAATTTAATTCCAATCACTTTGAGATCTGCATTTGTTTTGTGTTAAAATATTAACAGAGCATTAGTGTGATTATTTAACATATCCATATTATGTTAAATTAACACAAAAATTTGTGTGGACCGTTTGGGACATGTGATATATGTATATTAAATTTAATACAAATTTTTCAACTGTGTACCTGTGCCTAAATTCATATGGGAACACTGAGAAAAATGTCCGATTAAATATAATCGGATAATCCAATTAATAATAACAAGTGGATATATCCAATGAAAAATATGATCGGTTTTTCAATCAAATTTCATCGGTAACTGAATTTCATCGGATATACCCATAATTTAAACGTAATCTGACAAATTAACCACCGAAAACGCTATTTAATTGGTTTATCCGATGGAAATTTTTCTCAGCGAAGGCATCAGTGATGCCTAGTGCACGCTAGGAACCACTGATGCCTTCCCATATGAATTTGTGCACACATCAACACATTTTTACATTTTGCATATGCATACATGAAAAGTGTATGTGTGTTCCATACGTGCCTCAGTCATACGGGAGGGCATCAATGATGCCTAGTGTACGTTTTCGAAGGCTCGAGTATTAAAGTTAGCGGCGTGTTCCAATAACGGAGAGTGTCGTGTGTCAAGAGGAGCGTGTGTAAACACCGTCTTGGCGCGCTAAAGCGTTCCTAATCCTCTCAAGAAAATGCTTATGCAGCAATTTCGCCGGTCTATTCGCGCGGTGGTCTAACAATAAGAAGATTCGCCAGTTGGCCGGATACCAACAATGTCAATGGCATTTCCGAGTCGGGTTAGCGCGTTAATGCGGGGCGAGGTCCCGACACGAGGAAGCCCGCAATTACGGGACCAGACATCCTGTTTAGAGCGACTCGGACCAACAGGTACCTCACGGATGACTTATCGTCGCGTTGAGAAGCGCAGGATATTATTATCGTTCCTCGAGCCGCGCCGCGAATAAATCCGTCCGCGCCATTTTTCGCCGCCAGCGCGAAAAACGTGTCGTCGCGTGTCGACAACGCGTGACTAGCAACTCGCCCTCGAATGCGTCCTCGTCGACGAAATTATACGGATTCTTGAGTAACGATTCTTCAACCGGTAGGTAAACCGCGCAGCTTTGCTCCCGACTCTCACGAACGAGAATTGAAACGACGAATCTAACGATACAATGGAGACATTGAAAAATTTTCTAAGCCAATTGTAAAAATTATAGTTACACGTTAAATAGCGAGAAATCTATACGTCGTTAGAAGCGACAAGAGCTCTCAAATTTATATTACAGATATAATACAAAGTTTCTAAATTAATATCACGAGGCAAATTGGCTATTTATGACAGCATTGTCAATATTATTCGAATATTATCCCAACGTTCTTTACAGAAGCATCAAATCCGCGTTTTTAAATATATCGCTAATAGCTGTTAACACATTTAAAAAGATAATGCTGTTTTTTTTATGTTATCTATCCTGATTCAAATATCTGGTCATATTTCGCAGTTCGCACTATCAATATTATTCGAATGTTATCCCAACGTTCTTTACAGAAGCATCAAATTCGCGTTTTTAAATATATCGCTCGCTGTTAATACATTTAAAACGATAATGCTGTTTTTTTTAATGTTATCTATCTTGATTCAAATATCTGGTCACATTTCGCAGTAATACTCTATATTCCATTAAGATTACCCTATTACTTTAATAAGGTGTACTTACCTCCAGGTGAGATTTCGATACGGCCATTGTTGTCCGTGGATGGTGAAACGCTTATGCCTCGTCTTGGCGAATCTGATGTCGGGCTGATCCGGTAATCCGCATCTCCTGGACTTCATTAACTTTTTCGTCGCCTCGTCGATCTCCCCCGTCACAGGAATACCGCCGAATTTCTGAAAATTAGAAAATTATACACAATTTATTAGGATTTAGCGCAATTGCACGAAAGTAAAATTTTGTTTCAACAATGTGCAGAAAGAAACATGAACAACCTCGTTCATTTTGCATATTATTTGTAATCGACATGGAAAAAAATCAAGAGATGCTCAGAATTTTTAATATAATTATTTGCAAACACATCTCAACTACTCTTTTTTGTAATTAGAGCTCCCTCTGTTTTCTATAAAATTATTATAAATCGAAATAACACGTACAAAAATATCTATATTAAGAATTTAGTATTTTCATTCTCTTCACTTGTGCTCTACATATAAAAAATTGTTCAATATGACACTTTTTAATAAAAAGTCAAAGTGTAAGAATCAACAAATCTATATTTCACTGTTTTAATCGACATCTCGAGAGTTCCCTTTCGCGTAGGCTTTTCCTGGAAGCATAATCGCTTCCTTTAGCGATTCTGAGTCTGAGAAGATCTGTTTTTATCTTTTTGAGCAGAGATAAACGCTTTCGAGCATTTCAACCAGAAACGCGCCCGGAATCTGACAAACGCGATTATCGATAAAACCATCGAGAGACGTAGTCTACGAATGGAACCCGAACCGAGGCTTTAGACCTGAGATTAGAATGTCCGAGGCATTCCGATGCGTTTCATTTCGCGTTTGAGTTTGATCCCTTCGATCAGCAATCCGCTGCTCTCAGACAATGGTTAGGAGGAATGCAGACATTTGCGAGGGAAATATAGTAAGAATTTCGCTCGGCGCGCTCGCTCAATGAAGATTTACATGAGAATCGGGAATAAGAAGGATATATGGCGGCATTCGACAAAATCCCTCGGGACATTTGCCCCATTTTCCTATTTCTTTCGACGGGACTCCCATCGATTCGCGACAGCTTCCGGAGAATCGGCGCTTCCGAGATGAATATTCTCAAGGAACAGAAATCTTCAGTCTGGTGGCCTCGCAATAAAGCCCTTTCGGCTAATTCTCGCGTTACTTCAAAATACGCTACATTACGTAACGAGAATAGTAATTAATCTAGACTAAGTAGCAAAAGGTTGGCGTGCGATTAAATTTCATTTAAAAACACGCAGGAATAAACGGAATGCTTCAATTACAGTTCTATGATTATACATTCAAATTGCGTGGAAAATTCCGCGCGTAACGCGAAAGAATGATATTTTAATAATAAAATTGGTAATATTAAATTACACGGTCCCTCATTTGTTTCTTCCCGCGCGATAAAATCCCGTCTCTCTTTATATCATAATTTTGCTTACCTGCAGATTTTTTATAGCATCCCTGAGCTGATCCTCCGTCCTCAGATTTCCTGTCTCGAAGTCGGTCTGAGGTAAGTAACCGAATCTCATGAGATAATTTTGCTGCAACAGAGAAAGGAAAGAATTAATACGGCAATATTAAATACATATACCGAATTAGCGTTGATACATGGCAGAGTTAAAATTAGATGTATATGAAAACATATCCTTTCAGGTTTCTTAAACGATCTTGCGAAACTTTTATGCGTGAAATTTACACATTATCAAACAGCGAGACGCTATTCTTCCTATTGAGAGATCAACGAAATGTTGTTGATTAACTCGCAATTCAGAGCCGGTGAAACGAAATCTACTATACTCCGCATTGAGAAGTGAATTTAACCCTACGTAGGACGTGTTCGCAAATTTACAACCACTCTACGCTCTCGTGCGGCAGGCTGTTAATTTATGCACATTACCGTGATTACCTGCCGACCGACCTAATGAGAAATAGTTCAGCAAGTGTGCATTATCAGATCGCGCATGCGGCGCCGATTATTACGGAATGATAATTCTCTCTTTCTCCCAGCGATTGATTCGTCGACTGGGCACGTCGACGGTTTATCGAGTCTCATGTTGATAGAAATCGCGGCATAATCCTTCCTTCTCCCTTTACATGCTGCTAACGAGCGCGAAAACGCGAGTGGATCGCAGTGGAAATTATTTTGCGACACGAGATCGTTACCGTAACGAGGATAAAAACGTGCGCTACGTAACGCCCCGATGTATGTTCGCGTATCACGGATGTGCGTGCAAATACAAAGTGCTTATTTGCACTTAGCCGTATCGATTTATCCGCGTATATCGTATCGGGATAAAAATTGCGGCAACCAGCTGGAACTGGAAAAACATTCAATACGCTCGAAACTGCGGAAAGGAAAATATTTTTCGAATCGTTTTCATAAAACCAGTTCTGTTTTATTAACCTGTCACCTGTGCGCCAATTTTATTTTATCACTCTCTCTCTGTAATAGACACATATTGACAAAGAGTCGACTGATAGAATAATAAACACGAAACTTTCATTTCGCCCGAACACAACAATGTCGCTCTATCGATTGAAGGATTAAAAGAACGTCAATTATTAGACGTAATTAATTAATCCGACACATTTATTAACATCGTAAACTGATTTCTTCGCGAATGAAGAATTTTGATGGATGCTGGCCTTTTGGCCTTAACGTTACTGAAGCATGACTTCGTCGACTAAGCCTTATAGATGGAATAATGCGAAAATTGCGAATAGTTTTCAGAATACAATGCACGCGAAGGCCAAGAGAGAGAGGTGAAAGATCATAAATTCATGGAAATTCACAAGACATAAACATTCATTCGCAGGCCGTGTCACGGTCAGTTATTCCGCGTTAAATATTCTTTTTAGGTCGTTACGTAGACGACCGTAAACGCTAAATTACAGGCCGCGAGATCGGGAAAGGCTATACAGGGTTTACGAAGTATACATATATCATGTTACGTAAAACGTAAATGGAATATTGTATATGAACGGACTGGCTAAACGCTGTGTGCGCAAATTTGTACGGGAGCGTAGATATTTACATGGTTGGACGGAGAAATTAATTAGGACCAACCTAAATGTCTATTAATGACTATTAAATTATGTTATACCGCCATCTTGCCTAGTGTCAAATAATAATACATCAAAATAACCGTCGGCGAATTTGGTTGAAGAAACTTTTTCCCACTGTAAAATTAAATTACAAATTTAGCGTACATATATTTACGTAATCCAATAAATGGATTATGAATAACGCGGAAATAATTGTAAAAGCAATTTTAGGGCAATCATGCGTTCTAATTACGCTCATAAAGAAATGAACTATTAAATTACAGACGAAGAAGAAGAGAGGGGGGAGAACAACTTCCGGATAATTCGAAATAATTGCTGAACAATTTGCAATTATCCGTACAAATAATCTTAAGAGTAATAATCGATTATCCACTTACACTTAAGTAATTTTCACATTTATGTTTTTAAATACTTATTTTCGAGCAGTCTACTGTGGAAGGCGTCTTGAGAATTTTACGCATTTAACTGTATATTTCTATACCTTCGTAGTTCGTTTTTATTTCATAGAAAGTCCGGTTCTCTTGGATTTTCACGAATCGCTAATCTCCCCAATCTCATTTTCCTAATTTAATGAGTACTTCTCCCGGCAGAAGTGCGAAAAGGAGTAGGGTGGGCGTAATTTCGCGGATTGCCGGCGTACTGGGGTCGCCGCAAACTTCGCGGAAAGCGTCCGTTGAGATGACGAAACGGTCGGAAGTCTGTTAGTCGACACGTGGCGAGGTGCCGCTATCTTTAGGGGTTCCTCGAGTATCGCTCCAGACAGAGGAAGCGTCTTGTTCCCGACCGCCGTCGTCGCCCGCCACGGGAACGAATTCCGATTCGTGCCAGGAAATAAAAAATAGCTCGCGTTCGCGCGCTGCTCCGACATTTGGCGGAAAGAAACAGAAGGAAAGGAAGGTAAGAGAAAACGCCGTTCTTGGCGAACGTTCGAAAGAAGGCTGGATAAAACGGGCAACCAAAAGAAATGCGAAACAATTTACTTTGCTAATTTCTAATGATTCTCCAATGATAACGAACAACACCGTGTAGATCCTCCTTCGGATCCAACTGCAAATGACAATGGAAGCGAAGGAAGCCACACTTTCTCGCAGAATACTTTTATTTTACTTTTTATCGAAATATCACATAGATTTTATAGAGCAGCGAAACGATGCGATACGCGAAAAATTGCCGGATACGAGTGACAGCGACAATTTCGCTCGTCTTCGCGCATCCTTAAAACCTTTCAAGTACCAGCGATAAATGCGATGTTCTACGATGTTCTCAACAAAAGGGCCTTTGAAATCGCGGGATGTCATTAGGACGATTGATGTTCGATCCTCCTTTCCCATTCAATCTGCCGGCTTTCAGACGTTTCAATTCTATCTGTCTCTCAAAGCGCATATGTATATCTATACGTATAAAAAATAATATTTATAGCCTGACAATAAAAAAAATGGACCAAGAAAGTATGAGCTGTGAAATTGTCTCGTAAAAGTTCCTCTTACAATATTCATGATATTGAAAATTTACAGCCTGACAGAAACGACACGTTTTAATGCCAATTTTTCAGATGTAAAATATCTACAGAACGTAAATTTATCTATCAAAATATTTTACGACAAATCGTTTTAAATGTATATAGATTTTCATTAAAATTGAACACTAAAGAGTTGGGCAAAAGTATTAATAACACAAATATTAATAACACAAGATACCAAAAAAATGAAAATTGAAGTTAAACTAATTTAAGTCAAAGCCATAAATAAGCGTTATTGAATCAATTTTACGTTTTTTCTTTAATATTATTGGTAAAAAAGATTATAGTTGTCATTGTTCCGTTCGACGCCTCGTGAAGGAAACGTTTGTTGTACAAATATTTCATTTACTAACGTTTCGCGAGAGTGTTCTTCGCTTATCGCAGCTTCTTGTTTCTGAATCCCCCGGTACTTGGTATTATATTATCGAGTTACGATTACGGGAACAACCAAACGAGTCAATGATAATCAAAAGGGCCAGAGATAATATTACCGGAAGACGGCAACGTCAGCTACTTAGTAAAATATCCGCCGAAACAAATCGTTTGACTCGAGAAAAATCATACAGAATACATATGTATGAAATGAAGAAAATAATGCGCGAAATACTGCCGAGAAATTCCTTTTATCTAATTGAATATTTAACTAAAAGAAATGATTTGTGCAACTATGTAAATATATTTAGTAAAAGACAGAACTATTTCTTAAAAATATTAGCTCGATTACAAGCTTTTCGATAAATGATAACGATGTAAAAATAAGTGTAATTTTCAAAAGTCTTAAATTTTATGACTATTTCCACAACTATTTCTCTAATCAAATTGCCGATTATGTCTGCAACAGTGAAATGTTTAAGAATTCAGTGGAATACTGGATCAAGTGTGCTTTCTATTGCTCCACCCTAATTTCCCCGTGTACCTCTTCAAACTGAAGTGTACCGCTCCAACTACCTCCTTTATGACGTATCACGCGCTCCTCGCCATGTTTCGCCGAGGCCATATAGAGCGGCCTGTAAACGCGCGAACACGCACGTGCGTCGTCCACGAGGGGAGACACGCAAGCAGTCCGCGGAGGGTGCCCGTTAGACTTAGGCCGTGTTTGGTCATCGAGCACGCGAGATTTCTCCCGCATTGTTCGCGGATCCCCTTTGCTTTGGAGAACCGGTTGCACCGCGCACCACGTCACTGCTCGCTTACGCCGCCGTTTAAGGCGGATAAAATATATCGAGGAATGTCTCGAACAAAGAGATATTTTCGGTCACTCCCCCTACCAGCCCCCTTTATTCTGCCCGTTGGCCTTAACGCGTCGTCCGTGTGTCTCCCTGACGTGGCTCCCGGATATTTCTCTCACATACTCAATCTTTTCGTAATCCCCTCCGTCATCTTATTTCATTACGAATACACAGTACCCTCCATAAGTTTGGAAACACCCTATATTTTACAGATAAGCAGTGGCACAGCAGCGATCTGTGCACAGGTTTGGTACACGTATATCACACGTCGTTTAAATAACGATATATATTTCCATTTAGGACTTTGCAATGTTTGTACATGCTGAAAATATATCGGATGATTATTTGGCTGCACCGACGAACTTGTTCGCAAAGAGCGAATTACGGTGGAGTGCATCTCCGGGAGATTCTCCGGCAAGAATGGAAACGTATCCCGACTGGATCTCTGCAAAAAGTTAATCCATCGCATAGTCGCGAGTACGCGAGGCAGCCATTAAAGCAAAAGGTGGTTGCTCTGGAGGAATCCAAAATTTAATTTAAATCTTTATTAAAAGCTTGTCGATACGTACGTGTGTATCTTCGTTTTAGTTCTCCTCAGTTAAATAAACGCAGAGCAAAATACATCGATTTTATTATGTATTTCTTTCATATTACACACTTTTACTAAGTGTTTCCAAACTTATGGAAGGTACTGTACACAGAGAAAACGAAATAGCACAAACTGAGAATACCGAAAGTGAAATA